CCTACAGTTTTTACTATGGTAGGAGTGGGCATCCAACACAAGAAATTTTCAGTAGCACTGGCAAGAAGTGTTGCCCTTTTCTCAATGTGCTTCTTCTAAGCAGTAATTCCTATTCACTGCCATGATATAGTTATCTACTGTATACATTTACCTTTAAGAAACTCCCAAAAAACAACAGCAGTATCTACTATTGATATGAAACAGAATTCTTTCACAGGTGAACTTCTGCAATTATTTTACCATGTTTGAATCTCAGATAGTCTAAGAGAGTGAGCTTTAATTTATAAATGAATAATTTTATTTCCCTGTTTATTATTTTTCACTAATTATTTCATATGTTTCTAAAAACAAATTAGGGATCACATTGTCCCTTTAGCCAGCTTTAAATATATATTTTTAAAAATAGGTGGACACACACACAAAATGAATGCACAAACTACTAAAAACACCATCACAGCAAAACAACACAAGGCAAAAAGCAACAAGCCATGGACCCCATTACCCAATGTCTACTACACCTTCAGTGACTCCCATTTTTGTTCCATCCGTTGTTTTTCATACTGCATCTGACCCACCTTGATTTTCATGCTAGAAAGTTTGGCCATTAAAGACTGGTAGAGAGACAGAAGAGTGAAAGAAAACTACAGATAGAAAAAGACAAGCTAAATAACCAAGAAAACAGTATCAGTTTATAAAGGAGGTTAGATAATTAAGAGAAATGACTGGTTATGTTCTATCAGATTAGTCAAGCACCCATTTTTATTCAGAATAACAGTGCTTAAGAATCAAGAAGGTCTCCAGCTTGGAGAAAAATTTCATTCACTTGTAAAACTCCTTCTTTATATTGATAGTTATCATAGGAAGTAGTGGAGCCATTTATTTTTTAAAAATTTTGCCATTGAGAAAACTTACTTTGGTTGATTTCAGCTTTTTTTCATACTGAAGTCTTTCACTATCCATTTCACTGATTCTTAACCTCAAATCATTAATCTCCTGCATTAGCCCCTATTGGTCCAAAAAGAAACAAGGAAATACATTAGGAAAGTGGTAACACACTTATCTATACTGAGATAACAGCTTGGAAATCTTAAATCTTGGTTAAAGTTGTATGAATTAGATCAGACAAATGGAAACAAATGTTTCTCCTTGAGAACCAAGGCATCTTCCCATTTAAAACACTGCTTTAAATTTCTAATGCTTTTGTCCTAAAATGATGGGATTATGAAAATAAAAGGTGACTGATTTTGATTAAGGAAGGTAGCTAATCACTATCATTCATTAGATATTTCTAGACTAAATTTCACTATATGAACTCTGGTTTTAAAATAAACCAGAGTAATTTTCTTTAGTAAAACCAATTACTTTCAGGGCCTTTTCAGTAATACAGTGGATCTTTATAAAAATATTTTTGCAATTTCTTTATTTGTCTACAAGACACAGATTGTTCATCAACCCCGTCTGGGAGAATGGAATGAAATTTAACTCCTTTAAGCCAAAGATTCTCAACCTGAGGATGGATGAGGGCTGTTGTTTACAAATATATTCAGTATCATAATATAATTTATATTTGGAAAACAAAAAAGAAAGCAACCCTTATGTTTTCATAATACTAATACAAATAGTATCAAAAAAACTTCTTTACCACCCCTTTTCTTAAAAAAATGATTTACTTATAAAATTTGTCTAAATATTCTGAGAAATAGTGACATATTTTTGTCCAGAGCCTGGAGACTAGGAAAAGGAAATGAGAACGCCAAATAATACCAACTCCTCCAAGACAAGGGCTCAAATACTCTGTGAAGATGATTTTTTTTTTACTCTAAGCCATGAAGTCCCCACCAATGGTTAATGTGTTTTTGTTCCTCTCTTTTTCAAGACATTTACTCCTGAGCCACATATGCATGGATGACAGAACAGAATTATATAAGAATTCCATAAAAAAACAAACAGAACAATGCTATAAGAAATATAACTTTGTTAATGACGGATTACTCTAAACTTCTAAGTATAATGATTTAACCTCACAAAAGATAGAAAAAGGGATGCTACAATGAAAAACACTTCCCAGAAAACTCACAAGTTTTTAAATCGTTCTTGTTTTAACTGGTTTCTTATAAAATAGAGAAAAGTATTATCTAGAGTTACTTATTAATATTAATTATTATAATTATTATTAATAATGATTCAATAAGAGGGCATCTATTTTCTCCTTTTACAAAATGAGGTCAAGAACTGTTTGACATATTTAATAACATTTTAGTTGTGATACCTTATCTACCAGTTCAGAATTCAAGTTCAAGAAAAAAGTCAATTTCTCCCATTTATTATCTCTCATTTATTAATATTAATCATCCTTGTATAATATGAGTTCTTAGTGATCTTCCTTCATCAATCTGATCTTTTAAGTATATATTTTCCCACTTTCTCATTGGTAAGAAACAGCTATGAATTCCTATTTGGTATTGTTTTATTTTACCACGTTCTTTAGAAGCAGTAGCAATTTGCAAAGAAGAAACAATTGAAGAAATTAAAATTATAAAGTGAGATTATTTTCCTATTAAAAAAATTATTTAGTTATCCTTTGTGGCAACACTGTAAATATGAATATATATCTCCAACCTGAAAAAAGTCATAAATCCCCATGATAACTCAAATTGGAAAATTTGGCAACAGCTCCTTAATACGAGACTTTAAAAAATGGAATGCAAATTATTTCCAACTATTTTCTTGCCAGAAGTTCAGTCCTTTTTAAAAAGAAAATCTGTTACCTTCCCCTTTTCGCTTGCAGAAAAAACTCTGACTTCCACAGAAACTCAATTTCTAACATCTGTGCTCTTACCAGAAGGGGGCACTGTTGAATGATGCTAACCATCTCCTATCCGCAATTCCTGGAACATGTTAAGTCCTCAAACGTCCAAGGTTTCAAAACTTTTACCGCAGTCTTTGGAAGTACCTATATTTCTATTCCACTCCAATATTTTCATAGAAACTAATATCCAAATAATCTAAAATTCTAAGATAAAATTAAAGAATTTGGGATTCACGACACAGCCAAGGAAATATTTTATTGTTATCAAGGGAACAATAATAGGAAAATGAGCATATTCAATTCAGTTTTAATTTTGATGACTATTTTAATTATTTTCATGTATAACAAATATTAGCAAACATCTTTATAATCTCTGGGTATGTTCATGCTACATTTTACCAAGTGCTGAATATTAGAAAATTATCAGTGACTGAGTTTATTGGAAGTTGATCACAAGATTACTTTGCATGTTTGAGAATGCATGACTGAAGGAAGCACCACGAAAAAAGTTTTATAAAAACACAAACTCAAGAGACGTAAATATTGCTCTGGGGGGGAGGGGGGGAGATTCATAATAAAAGAATCATATAACATCTATTTCAATGTAGTCCTGATGTTTGGTTAACATCTCGTATATCAAAATTCACCAGTCATGCAGGTTAATATATCCCCTAAACTTTGTGTATATAATGTAGAATTATCCCCAAATACTGTAATTTCTTTCCCTGCATCAGAGTTTGCTCCCCCCAGTGTCATCTACCTGTTGACTGAATTCTATTGTGTTATGCAGGGACTGTGGGGTTAGGGGATGACAGTAAGGAAGAAGAGGGAAATATCCAAACAGATTTTTAAAGAAAGCACAAAACCAAGAATTTGAAAGAAACTGGGTAACTTTTTTTTTCTTTTAGCTGAGTCATCCTGCCACCTGTTGGCAGCTCAGCTCGGGCCGGGCATTGAACCGCTGTTGCTCAGAGCTCGCACTCTTGAGCAAGCTTTTAACCAGCTGAGCCACTCAGCCGGCCCCCTGGGTAACTTTTTAAGTTTTAAGAGCCTCAGTCTCAATCAAATGAGAAATATGCTCATATAGGTGATTGACAAAAAGTTTTAAGATTAAAACATGAACCAAGTTAGGGATTTCCTTTTCCTACTGAGGAAGTAATGCATACACAAAGAGTTTCCATTATAGTTACATCTTTGACAGAAAATTTAAGTTTTAAAACACCAATGGAGTAACTCTCATTCAATTCAAATCTGTGAAGGGCTTTCGTAGATAATGTATGTAATGACCTTGTGTTGTGATGGCATGTAGTCAGCATGAAATAAAGGTTTGAAATGATGACAGAGAGGAAAAAGAAGTAATGATTTCTTCTCCTCTCTCTTTATTAGTACCCATTTTCTAATCCAGTATGGCACCTCCCGATACCCCAACTGAAGAAACAAAGTAGAGAAAAAAGAAGAGATGGCTCTAGGAGAGGAGGAATTTCTGTCGTTCTTTTCAGATAAATAGACTTCAAATGGATATGCCTCTGCAAAAAACAATAAGCAAATAAACTAATAGAAGACCTGGATTAACAATAAATAGGTAGGACAACCAAGAAAGCATGTTTAGCCACAAAATTTGGTAAAGTTGTAGAATCTACCCTGAATTTCACAAAAGTACAGTGAGCTTAGAATGATTTATGGGTGGAATAGACCAAAAGTAGAAGGCCAAATCAAATGACCTCTAAAAATGTGATTTTTATGATTATATAATGAAAGCATGCTCTCTACATATATTTAAAAATCTACTTAGCATACAGTAAATAACCAGTGTGCTTAAATAATTACTAGTAAAATCATGCACTTAAACCTATTATTTCCACAATGAAGAAACCAGTATGGATGGACAGATAGAAAGACAGAACCTCCAAGTATCTTTCTAAAGGCTAATGAAAGGATTAATATTTCACATCAAAAGTCTGAAAATATAAATTGCCATTAGCATTTAGTGATAAAAAGTCAATGCAATTAAAGTTGAGCTTTAAAAAGAAGCATAGATGAATGAGGGCACATAGTAATTAACTGTCTCCCCTTTACACTCCAAGGAATTTCACCTTGCTCTAGGAATACATGTGTGTGCAATAAACACACACACACACGTTTACGTATATGTATATAAAGAGAGGGTGCTACTTACCTCTGTGTCTCTGAACCTATCTTCATAATCCAGTCTGTCCTTCTCTACAGCTGTCAGTTTTAACTTCAAGTTAGATATTTCAGCCATCAGATCCAACTTCTGAGTTTCTAAGGATGTCCTACTCAGAAGCTCCTATTAGAATTTAAGAGATACATTCAGAAGTTTTTTAGTATAAACAGCCACATATGGATGAGTCTCACTTATAACTGCAAAGCAGTAACTATCAAGTAGAGGATGTGATAAAGATTAATTACTAAACAGATACAATTTAGTTAACCTTCATTCAGTAGAACTAAGCACATGTCTGCTTATTGGGGAGACATACATACAGAGGGTGCCCCAAAAATGTATGCACATTTTAAGGAAACTGTAATACTTGATATATACCAATAACAAAAGATGAATACATTTGACTTCTGCAATTATAAGAGGTGCTCAAAGTGGTTACCATCAGCATCTAGACACTTCTGATCATGGCAAGCTACTGCTTCAGTGTCCACTTGTATACATTTTTTTGGCATCCCTGGTAGATACATGCATACATAAACCTTATATATTCTTAAGGCTGATAATGATGATGATGATACGCTTGCTATGTGCCAGGCATTGTTCTGATATGTATTTAGCAGTTCAATGTTCAAAACCTTATGAGGTACAAACTCATAAGGATAACTTATCGATTATCCTTATTCAACACATGAGGAAACAGAACAGAGAGGTTAAGAATTTGCCAAAAGCCATACAGCAAGGAAATGGCAGAGCAGGGACTCAAACCTAAGCCATCTTTCTCCAGTGTGTACACTATCCACTATATTATAGGACCCCTCATATATGAGCCATGTGTATGTACAAGTTTTTTTTTCAATAAAGGTCATATATGGTACTTATATTTTTTCTTAATCATAAAAATATGCTCATGGCTAGGAGTTAAAAAACCATATGAAACCATTAAGAAGAAAATTAAGACTACCTATAATCCAATTAACATTTTATTCCAGATTTTAATTACATGGACACTTTCTATTGTGTGTATATTTCAGACCCTGTTACCATAGACTTTTGCTTAAAATATGCCAGTCTAAGTGAACCACAAAATTAACTGGGGCATCAGAGCAAACATGACATATAAATGTAGCATCTCTAATAGTTCAGCAGGAAAATCCCACCTGGGGGCTAGCTTTGTACATACCTGCTGCAGCATTTCCTCCGTGGCGTTCAACTTCTCTCTGTGCTCTTCAAGACAAAACTCCAAATCTCGAATCTTCTCCCCCTGCGCCTCTACCTGGTCTGTTAACACACTTACCTGTATTTAGAGCAAAATACTACAATGGGTTAGGAAGAATTTGGGTCCCACTGCCAACTTTATTTCTCTAAATAGAAGAAAACACTGGAATGCTGGTAACCCCTCATTTGGTTGTAAAGAAAAAATATCTGAGAATGAATACGTTAACAGCCCTTCTCACTCCTGCTTATGTGATGATTGCTGCTGAGGATTCCTATTTGGTTTTTAAGAAAGTTAGGGCTGACGGGGGGTGTGCAATGCTTTATAGGTTAAAACCATTTCAGGGGCCGGCCGAGTGGCGCGATGGTTAAGAACTCGCTTGGGATGCCAGAGGGCCCCGGTTCGGATCCCACATATGAGGGCCAGTGACACTG